CAAGAGGTATCTTTTATTCTTCTAGCCGCTCCAGGCTGGTCTGCTCATCCTTTCAAGTGGAGATTTCTCATCTCTGGAGATCTGGATGTGGTTCTGGTTTCTACTTATAGTTTTATGTATTGCAAAGGCTCTGCAAGAAGCCTCGTTCACTGGGCTCTTGAACACTTTAAAGCGGTCTTGGGCAATAAATTTACCCCATGCAATGTTACTTGACTTCTTTACTGCTGCTTCTATGAGTGTTGATTGTAGATCCAAACAAAATGAAGACATTGGCAATTTTAACCATTGTAAAATGTATATACAACTCAGTGGCATTAACTGCATTTACCATATTGTGCAACCATCACCACTGTCTACTCCCAAAAGATTTTTATCAGTACCTCTTCAGCAATAACGTCTCATTCTTTCCTCTGGCAGGCCCTGGTTGTTGTTGTTAAGTGTCGTCAAGTCAATGCTGACCCACAGCGACCCTGTATAGGGTTTCCAAAGAGCGGCTGGTGAACTTGAACCACCGACCTTGCAGTCTGACGCATTATTCCACAGCACTACACCAGGACTCCACAGCTGCTAATAAATTGTCTTATTCTAGATATTTCATGAGAATCAGATCATAGAATATTCGTCCTTTGGTTTCCAACTTATTTACCTATTTTACAAATCACACTTTCAAGGTTCATCTATATTATAGCATGTATCAGAGCTTTTCTCTTTATTGCTGTGTAATATTCCATTACATGTATGTAGCACAGTTTGTTTATGCATTAATCTGTTGTTGAAGATTAGTTGTTCTCACCCTTTGGCTATTGTGAATGATGCTGCAGTGAAGTTGTACAGTTATCTGTTAGAATCTCTGCTGTGAGGTCTCTGGGTGTATACCTAGGAGTGGTATTGCTGGGTCATCTGGTAATTCTATGTTTAACTGTTTTGGTAATACCAAACTGTTTTCCACTGTTGATATTGTTAAGTACCGTTGAGTCATTTCCGACCCATAGTGACCCTGTATAAGGTTTCCAAGGAGCAGCTAGTGAACTTGACCTGACAACCTTGACATTCAAACTGACTTTACAGTGCACTGCATTAACCCACAGTGCCACATCAGAACTCCTCTGAGGCTGCACTATTTTACCCCAAATGGTAGAGGTTTTCTTTTGGTAGGGTTTTTTGGTCATTGATCCTGGTTTTTTTGTTTTTGTTTTCTATTTAAGAACTATATTAGACTTCTCCCTACCAAAACTCAGCATGCCAGTTATGGTCCACAAATTGGTTAGACTTATATAATTGCTTAGAAAGTACCAACCATCAAGTTAAGGAAGTGCCTCTAAGAAACAAAAACTCAGTGTTATTACTAAAACACAGTGTTTCATTTTAAAAGTGATGAAAGAAAAGGCTGGAAAGCTACCCAGAGCCTGGA